ATCCTAACATTGTACAACTACTAGGAGTGTGCACTAGAGGGGAGCCATTCTATGCAATCATGGAATTTCACCTGTATGGTAAGACTAATTCTGATCTCCGGAAGGTCATACCAAGTTCTCATTAAACAAAAATTTCATTTATTTACTATCAGTTGTATGTAAAGGCAGATTTTAATAGATTTAGTCCTTAGAACTCAGAATTAAATGTACCAGTACTTTAAATTAAACAATGTGTTCAGGTGACCTGAAGACATATTTATTATCCCGTCGTAACCTGGTGGGTCTGGAGTGTAAGGAAGCTGACGAGATCCGCCCCGAGAGGCTCACCATGATGGCCCTGGATATTGCATGTGGTCTTCGATATATCCATGACCTAAAATATGTTCACAGGTATTAAAACAAGACTAATAGATGAAAAAAATTAGCAATAGAGTCAAATCAGTCATATATTTGTCATTCATTAATATTTTCAAATATGTGCTCAGAAGCCAGGAGAAGTTCAACTTGAACATACCAAGCAGTTCAATTTTTTGTGGTCAGACACATGCAACTGCTTCTTGACACTTGCAATAGTAACTGATTTTTAGAGACAAAGGATGTACATGTATTTATAATATACGTTAAATGGTTTAAATATTTAGCAACAGATCTGTCTTAGGGGGAAACCTATTTGATATATTATTTTCACAATGAATGAGTACTTTTGTTTCTGTAAGTAATATATTTATTTTATTACACAGAGATCTGGCCTGTAGGAATTGTTTGGTTCACTCCAGTGGCCGAGTGAAGATTGGTGACTTTGGCATGACTCGCCCAATCATTGAGTCAGATTATTACAGATTTACGAAGAAAGGTAAAACTAAAAATAAATTTATTATATGCATCAACTACTTTTATGATTCAAATTTTGAAGGAGAATTGCATCCTACATTGTAGACATATTTTTTTTTAACCTGATTTTGTCTGTTGATCTGTAGGCATGCTGCCGGTGAGATGGATGTCTCCAGAGAGTCTGTCGGACGGCCTCTTTACAGCCAAGTCTGACATGTGGAGTTACGGAGTTCTCCTGTTTGAAATTGTGACATTTGGTAGTTTTCCTTATCAGGGTTTGTCTAACAGCCAAGTAGTCGAGTATGTCAAAGCAGGATCTCGGCTGATGCTTCCACGGCAGTGTCCTGATGAACTGTGTACATTTATTTACAGCTGTTTGGCCTATGAACCCTGTGATAGGCCGGACACTGGTGACATTATTGACCAGTTGCTGAAGCAGCCAGACTTTCTCATACCTTGTTTAGATGCTCCTGCAACAAGTGTGGAGGACACAGAAGATGCCGAACTTCTGACATCGTCGCAGCACAATACGATAACAAAAGCCAATTCATTCAACCTCACAACATTGTTAAATAGATTGTCTACAGCTTCTAATGATGGCAAAAGACTCAGTGGGGCAAGTCAGGGAGGAAAAGTTCCAAGCAAATATACCATTAAGACATTTGTTCCTGCAATTCTGGGTCGTCCCAGGAGTAACAGCATTAGTTCTCCTCATCCTAGTCACAAAAATCATGAATATTTTGAAATCCATGACGAAAGTCCCTCCAATACATTGGATAAATCTCATCGTCATTCTATGGAAATCCAAAGGGAACATATACATCTGGATCCAAGCATTTCACTGCTGGACACATATCCCCCTGCTGGGGAGAGAACAGACACCACTAGTGATTACTTTAGTGACAATTCCAAAGAGATTGTTCAAAACTTGACGTTTGAGTTTTGTCAGACAATTACATCACTATGATTTTTCTTTCATACTTTTGTTTCAAATTAAGAGGTCAATCAAATATCAGGTTGTGAATTTTTTTCTAATGTACAGCTTTATTCCATGTTGTGGCATTCCATGTTTCAATTTTGACATAAGCATATAGACATTTGCATCATTAATTTATTAACAAGCCTGTAACTTGTAAATGAAACAGAACATATGGTGCTTAAAACCCTCCCTCATTGAGGACAGGATATGTCTCTAGGATCTGTGATAATTCAAATCCCCCATGGCAGTAGAATTCACTGCCAGTCTGACATTGTCATCTGGATACCGTGAACTTGTTTATGACAGCAATGATGTGTATTGTACACTGTTGACAAATTGAAGTTGATAGTAGATATACAGTGAATGTGCAACTATATGTATAATATATATAAGCACTACATTGAAGTATGTTTTAAAGTAAAAATGAAAACTTATCTAAATCAGTATCCCCTTAGTGTTCTTTCATATATGTCAAGTCGAGCCCCCTTCCCTGTCAAAATCAATGCAATTGAACACCCCACTACAGCAATTTTTAGGGACCTTCAAGTTTTGGCATTTATAGCAATGGACTGGACAGCACTGAAAATAAATGACAAGAATTCAATCACAAAATATAAATTATCCTAAAATCACTTAAATTTAGTCACTTTTATAAATAGGATAGAATTCCTAAATTGTCAGTCGCGAGAACATAGTTTGTAGATTGCTATCTGTGGGGAATAATGTCATTTTATACGCATTTCAGCAATGTATGTAATTTTTCTACATTAACAGTATATATTTTTTGTACAGAATCTCATGGTATTGCATTCTTGTCATTTTTAGACCCCCAACCCCACCCCCCTCCTTCATGATTGACATAAAATGTGAATCTAATACAGAGCAGCTTTAAGTAAGCATATTAAAAAACAGTTTCAAATCATTTCAGAAATATTGTAGAAGTAACCATATTTTTTTATGTTTAAAAAGCATTAAATGATGTAAGATATTTAAATGGATTTTCATAATTTTTATCATCATCTTGATTTTGCAATAAAATGATTTGTGTGCTATTTTTGTAAATTTATTTATGGCTCAGTTTTAAACTCTTAAAAGATGTGAAAATAGCCAAGAAAATAGAGGGCTGTTGATACTGTTAATAATTGAATTTATAAAAAAAAAAAGTAAACACCTATAGAATTCCTCCATCAGTTTATTAAGAGAAACCTAGAAATCCTTGAAGAGAGGAAGGGTTTAACATTAATATATTTAAATATATAGCAAGGTATTTACATATACAGTTGTGTATTTAAAAATGAACAACTTTTGTTATGAAGAAATCAGTTATGTTGGAGGATGATGACAAGTATACATATTGGTAAATGATGAGATTAAACTAAATTAGAAGATAAGATTCTTTAATTTCAACATCAAAGCTATGTAGCTCTATGGATCAGAAACCTGGAGAACAACCAAAGGCTTATAAAAAGCTAAAAGTCTTCATTAGCAGCTGCATAAGGCGAATTTTGAACATTAGATGGCCAGAGAAGATCCAAAATGACTTATAGGAAAGAACAACCCAAATCCTGATAGAATCTGGGGAATGAAGGGGATGAATTGGTCACACATTAAAAAAGACAAGAACTTCCATCACTATGAGGCAGTCTGAAGAGCCCATAGGGGAAACAACGTAGGGGGAGGACAAAGAACACCGCGCATAGGAGTGTAGTGGCAGGGATGGAGAGGGGAGGATATAAGTGGCACCAACTGGAAACACTAGCTCAAGACGGGGGGAGGTGGAAAGGTGTTGTCAGTGGCCTATGCTCCTCACGGAAGTTAACATGGTTGAAGTATTTTAACAAGTTTTGCTTATTTTTTCAAATATTTCAGAGCAATATTTGAAAACCAAGAAGTTCAATATGTTTGTGTTATTTATCCTTAATTGAGACAACGTCGTCGATATGCTAGTATTTAAATGTCGTTGAAGGCTGCAACAGAGTTTTTTTTATGTAGAAGTTCTTGAAAAAAATTCTTCATAAGAAAATAAAAAAAAAAGTTGGCTAATAAACCGCACAATTACTACCCATCAAAATTCCAACAGACTATTGAAAGACCTACATGTAGTCTCCAAAAACTGCATAGAAATTAGTGTTACAGAAGAGAAAATATCTTTTGAATTGGATGGATTTACTTGATTAATTAAAAAGTCTGATAATTTCTTAGTCAAGCCTTTCTTAGTTGTATATTTGTGTGTTGTAGGGCAAGACAAGTGTGAAGGAATTTACATGAAGAACCCATAGGTGGAAAGAGGATATACTGTGGGACGGGGATCCACATCTCTATTGCAAGTTTCACCATAAAAGTAAATACTTTATTTTTAGTAGAATTGATTGGTTCTGTACGATAAGGCCAACATTAAGTAAATGTTTGTTTGCCTTCTCTCTACTCAGGATGAAAAAATTGTGTTGGTAGGTAGGTGGGAAATTTTTTTTTCTCAGAAGATTTCATCATTAATGCTGAATTTTCCAAATCTATTGTCCTGAATGTATAAAAAAAAAAATAATTGTTTTCTGGAGGATAAAAAAGTTTGGAGTCGGACCATTTTTAGCCAGTCGGTTGGGAGAGGACAACCAAACAGTTTTTTTAAAGATGGCCTAACCAACATTTAAACGCGCACGAGATTCGCGAACAACTAAAGGTTGCCGATATTTATCGTCGCGAACCAGTCACTCTCTTGTCTTAGAATTAAATTTGCCAACAAGTTGCAGAATGTGATATCCCTTATTCATTTATCTTTTGGTCTTTGTCGTTTGAAAGGTTAATTAATCTTTATAACCTTGGCATAGGTTGGTATCACACCCCCGCTTTAGATGCGTGTGCTTGTCGCAAAGCCACTGGGGTGGACTACTGGTAATAAGATAAAAACCGCCTTACGATTTGCAGACCTTTATTTCTCGGACAGTATCAAGGACAACGTCCCGATTCCAACTCCCCGAATGTTAACAAAAAATTGTATTTAAAGACATGACTGATAATTGACAAACTTGAGTAACATAATTATGACATGAATCAAATGTATTTGATTTACAAGTAGAGTTAAAGATTATATTTTTAAATAAACAATATTGATTAAGTAATTCAAAACAGTCCATCTGGTCGTATCACTCATGGCTAATTTGATTGTGAAAATATTTAGAGTAAAAATGTCAAAATGTTCAATGGTACATTTTCATCTGTGACATAGGGATTAAAGATTACAACAAGCAAGCTTGATACAGAAAATTCAAAACTCGATGTTCTGTTTGAAAGGACAGAGTAGTTACTAAATTTTAAGTCAATTTTTCAAATATTAAAAATCTCAAAAATGGAATCCTAAAAGCTATCAAATAACCACTAAAGAGAACACCAGTTTTAAGCACAGTACCCTCCGAAAAGCCGCAACTATATTATCCTGTTCAGTCAACTTCAAATACATGTAAATCTACTGAAACAGTCTTCTTAGTTGAACTTCCACGAGGATTTCTAAACGAAACAGTAACGATACTCAGAATTTAATCACCACTTAGTTAATCTTATAAATATTTCATTTACTTACTATACAGTTTCAGACTGGGTATGAGGGCAACATGTGATTTCTTGGACCTGAAGGTCTGTTTTGTTATACCTTTCACTTAAGATATATACATAATATTAAAACACTAGAGTGACGACTTCTGAATAGATTTAAATCAAAATTTAAACAATAACTCTATAAGCAAAATGTTGGCTTTATAAAAAAATAAAATAATAACAAAGTAAAAAAAAAAATGAATCATTAAATTATTATATCACAGAAATTATTTATCACAAAACATTTAACTTCTTGGAATTTTATATAGAAAAATACTTGTAAGAATATATATAACAATATTTAGTATATTTTATGTCATTTAAAGCTTCAGAGACAATGTAAGATACATGTAATTGCATCTTGTATTTAAGAAACGTTGCTTAGCAAATTTGCAATATGTACATTGTTACCCCAAAAGACAATTTCCATCCATAAATGTTTTGATGACAACAAAATGATGAATTTAGATGTGAATTCTTGTTTTGGTGATGTTATTTTTTTTTTAGTTTATACATTTTGCTCCATACTCTATTGTATCCACTCTTGAGAATCATTTCATAATTTAAACCCTAACGGGCTGATTTCCAGTTGACTTCGTTAAAACTGCCCATGTAGCAACATGGCAGAGTGGGTACATGTATCACACTGTATATACATGTACAATGTTCATGTATATGGTCAAGCATTCAGGAAAACAAAAGATTAATGTGATAAATTTGTTTTAATTAACCAATAATGACAACTCCATTTTTATCCTCAGTTGTGGTGATGACTTCAGTTGTAGTTGTGGGTGGACGATGCGGCTTGGGGGTGGGTTTTATTTCTGAGGTCCCTGACACTGTTGATGGGGTGGGCGTCTCCCTTGTAGTGGGGGCTGCTGTCGTACTTTTTGTGTGCATGTGTGTCTTAGTTGTCAAGATGTTGGGATCTACGGTCATCACTTGCTGGGTTGTGGTGTGTTCAGCATCGCAAAGCTCCACACACCTCCGTTCAGCCCTGGTGCAGTCCTGCTCACACAGGATAGTTGGGCACTGTAGAAGACAGTCTACTTCTCCTATGTTACAATGGGAGTGACATAACTGTAGGCTTAACAGCCCTCCCACTGCTCTGTTGACAAACATCAATATCACTAGGAGAAGCACAGACTTTGTATCTGTTATGTAAAGATTTTTCACCTGAATTTAATTAGTAATTTAGCAGAGATGTTCACTTGAATTCTATTAATGATTTAGCAGTAGTCATCTTTTTCAAGATAATTTTTTTTTCCATTGACAATTAGCTTTTCAATCTCCTCTAACGGAATAGTAGAAACGTTTTGTGCTGATAAATTTAAAATTATGATTAATTTTGGAAAGGTTTTAGTTTAAGCCTTAATGAAGGTGCTTGATTGCATTTAGAAGTACATTACTTTTCCTACCCATTTTGTGTATTAGCCCTTCACTTCCTGCAATACCGACCTTCTAAGTATGACAAAATTCTGTTCTGTTGTCTTATCTTCTCTGTTCTCATTGTCTTATCGACGTTGTTTCATAATATTTTGTGCATTCAGATCTTCGCATTATAAATTATATATTTTTAAAAAATCCTGTACAGTAGAAATGATATTTTTTTTTCCTTTATAGTCATGGCTTAAAATAGAATATATAATAACTATTGATCGAACAATTGCAGGTAAATACATAATATGTACTTAAAATTTTTGAATTATTGAGATTAATTAAAACTGAATTTAGAAATTTTGTCTGAGTTTTAAGTTTTTTAAGGCTCGTAGATTTTTTAAACGATCCATTATACTTTATTATAAAAAATTATTCCCTCTGCACTGAGAACATAAAAACAGTTTTGGTTTATTTAATGTCTTTGAGATCCAGTGGGCAGAGTAACCCAGGTGTGTACTATTAGTTTACTTGTTTAGTGGTGCTTAGTTGTTTGTAGTGTTGTTGTTCAAACTGTAAGTACATTAAATGGAGAAGCAGGGGCATCAGTAACTACTGAGCTAGATGCTGGAACAAGTAGATTTGGGACAATAGTAACCAAAGGTATTCGCGTAGTTGTGATGTCATCAGTGACCAATTTTTCTGTTGTGGTTTCTCCTTTACAGTACTGTAAACAACAATTGTATAGTCTAGGTTGCACGATTTGTAATGATCTTTAGAAACGTAAGTCAGCGTTAGTGTTCCTCCAATAACACTGACCCAGTTCTTCGCTACAGTGGCCATCACATTCTACAAGAGCGTTGACAGAGACTTTATCAAGATTCTCAGAACTAGTGTCCAACATTTGGGACAAGAAAAGAGTAGGAGCACGGAGTGGAGGGTCATCTGAAAAAAATACGGAATAGACGTCGTAGTTATTTTTTTAAAATAAAAATTTCATGGTACAATTTTATTTCATGAAAGCCTC